TTTTCTTTAATAAAAAAATACAACGTTTATGGCAACCGAATCAAAATAATGTCATCGTATCACGCAATCGTAGTATATAAATACGCTCCACCTTTTGTAGCATATCACTCATCATCAGAACTGATTATTGGCGATTCACTGGTAAGTATATTTCATATGAAATTTAAAACGAATAACTGAAATTTGGCACGTGCATGTATCAATGTATTTTATTAGAAAATGTTAAATGATAAAAAAAAATATTTCTAAAAAATATAATAAATCAAAAGCAAGGTTTATTGTTCTATTACTCCGTTATATGGAACTGGTATGTACTTAGATATTTGTTATAATTATCTCTGAAAAAATGTATATAAGTATAGTGAATTTATGATGCAAAACAAATGGTATAGCGTTATCATGTCCGGCTAGCATGTTCGTTTCAGTATTTCCAAATACAAATATAAAGCTACTGTGCTATTTTATCTGATATGACAGTCCACTCATTACTGGATACGTATGAAATGAAAGTAATGACTATGCTCATTCAGAAATCCAAGATTATGTTTATCTGCTGAGTTTGTAACGCACATAACAACACATATGAAATCATGCATTTCAGAAGACTAATAAAACCTTTTGATTTTAGGAAAAATAAATGACACACTCCTAAATATGCATGTCGACAATGCTAACAAATCAACATGAAGCCAATGTTAACCGGTGATTATTCGTATATATATATATGAATTACATTAAAAATTCAGCGCAATGTATACTTAGACAACGGCTTTCTCCATTTCGTTAGGAATACAATGTACATGCATTAAGACATGATATTGACGCGATATTAGTCTCTCAAGTCAATTAGTTTGGTGTCCAGTATCGGATGCTGAATATTGCTATTAGACTAAATCTCTTAACAAACGCGTCTATTGCATATGTTTATTTTTTAAACTTTTCCAGATCTGCTCGTTGTATCCAACTGCTGAACACGCTTGAAAACGGCAAGTAGTATGTTCGTCTTCTTTCGTGTTTGTAAAAAAATCAATTAGCTTGCTGTCAAAGTGATATGTCCATTCGCAGGAAATGATAATTACTTATTTTATAATAATAATTAATTAATACTAATAATACTAATAAACTAATGAGTACGCATAAATAATGCCAAAAATACAATTTACTATACTGCTTGAATCACGCGTAAATAAAGGTTGTGTAATCAATTTGTGGTTGAGTGTAAGAGAAGTGAATTTTTAGACGTTCGTTCGAAAAATAGTCACCATCGATGATCTTGAATTCAATATTAAAGTGATGTTTTCTTTGGTTTTGTTTTCTCTTATTTAGCGACATGAAGTTCCTCTGCTTACTAGTGTTGCTCTGCGTGCTCGGTGAATGTGTTAACGGTGAGTAAATGATTTACAATATACATGTATCACGAAGACGCCGTAGATACTGCCAGCGAGTTTTATTGACATTAGTACTACCAGCTTATACTTAGATTACACGCACCGTCAAATAAGTGATTGTATCGGTATTCTAGTAGGCCCAAACCTGCCCTAATCATATTTATAACTCAGACTGGATACCCCGTAGAACAGAAGCCGTGGTCAGAAAAACGTTAATTACAGACAACTTTAACTTAAAAATAAACTACCACTGAAATTTGCGTACCCATCTGGTTATTAGATGGATACACTTGATTTAACCAATGACGTACCATGCTTGTTAGCACATCCATGATTTAACCCAGGTTTTAGAATATAAAGATGAGCTATTGGTATTATTTCGACTCGCCATGGAATATCGTAATGCAAATTAGCATATCATTTTGATACCGGGTTTAAATATAACAACGGCACACTTAGTGCAGCTCTGAATACAGAGATGAACACCATTTTGCGGCAATCTTGCCAGTTGACCTACGGCGCGCCATATGTTTTCAATATTATTTAAACCACATATATTGATATAGGCATGGATTATAAATCGCAATTCTATTGGAATAACAATTTTATTTCGATAACCAGTATATCACAAATATTTGTATTTACTAACGTTGAATAATTTTTTTTCGGAATGTAAAATATGAACTTTATTGGTACTTTGTGAGTTTGTGGCTTCTTGGCTGGTTGGAGCGTTCAGGCAAATCCCCCTTAGTAAAGCTTTCGACTCCATACCACATATTTATCCACACACTGTACTGTACTAGCAACTTTATACAATGTTTGAAGCGTAATTATCTTGTTGCTCTCGCAGGGACTTTTTTTTCAAAATATAGTCCAGTTTTATCTTGTGTACCTCGGGGGTTCTGTTTCTCCCTTGTTTTTTCACTCATATATTAAAAACTATTTTTCAACAATTGTCCAATCATCTAATGTAATTGTATATGCCGATGATTCAAAACTCCATAAAACAATTAAGTCCTACTATTATTACAGGGTGATATTGGTAAGATCGTTTCTTGGTGTCCAATAAGCTTACATCTAATATGGATGAATGTGGCTTCATTTCATCCAAAAAAAGCTCTTTCAAATACACATTTTTAGTCCATTAAGGACCTGTGAGCAATTCTTTGTAGCTCCATGGTCTTGTGTGACTACATTAATAGGGCAGTCAAGAAATCGATCCATAACATGGATTCTCTAAAATGATTTTTTTGAAAAACAAATCCACACTGTAACGCCTTTAGAGCATGTGTAGAGCAGTCATTACTTGTGGTAATCTAGAACAAGTTTTGATACCGCTGCAAGAATATCTTGCAACGAAGATACAAGAGTGTAAAGCTTTAAATTTGCCTCCTTGATCTGTGCACAGGACGGTTGCCGATCTTTGTTTTTTTATACAAATATGTTCATTTTAAAGTAACAAGTATAAATTTAACTTTAATCTCATTGAATGTTTAGCGTAATTTAGGGGTGTAATCTTTCATTGCATGTACCAATCTCTAGAATAATTATAACGAATTTTTTAAATCATGCCCTAGTAATGATTTAGTGCTTTTGAAAAGGCAGTATTACGAGGATACAAGGATGCGAGCGCGAACTGTCTGGGTGCATACTTTGCAATATCCTCGTAATAACCTTATTATTATACATCTTTTCCTCTCAGGAATACATCATGGGAATGCCGAAATCCAAAACGTTTAGAACAGATTCAGCGAACTTTATTGCGTGGGTTCCGGTAAAACCCTGGTGGCAGCCATGTTATTTTTTATTACAGGACGCTTACGCGCGTAATTTTTCCATATTTGAAATTCGCGTTTCCAAATATGGTAGGATGAAAATACTCAGTGCAATACGGCACGCTATAACTTATGGCGTTACGGTAACAGATGTATAATAATTGATAATACACAGCTGCTCGCATAAATAAGAAAATAGAGGCCCGTCATTAAATCTCAATTCATTTATTCATTTAAATATGTCACATCCCAATTTACAGCAACTTTTTGAGGTGGAATATTATAAATGAGTTTCTGAATTGTACTAATGTTTTAAAGAATACATATAGCATTCATGAGAATATGCAATACCAAATCTGCAGTTAATCGTTCCAATATTAGTCAACAGTATTTGAACGTTTCCGATCTCTGTCAGTCTTATTTTTGTGAGTAAAAATTGGCAAATATTTCATCAGCGTTTGTTATATATACGATATTGAACACACATTTTTTCAACAAAACACCACTGTGTATTATGTATTATTTCTATTATTCAAAGTTAACAAGTTAAGTCGAAAGACTATACATCCATTTTAACCATTTTATCATCGGTGCTTGATGTATATTATTTTTTTCATGCAGTTTTTATATAAATGCAGTTTTTTATTAAATTTATTTGTAATAATATCTCAACACTTGGCTTGACATACTCACTCAACCAAAATTTAAACTGCTTTATGAACTCGCTATTTTTAATATAAAACTGACTGCTTGTAATGACTGTATTGATGTGTTGCACGTGAACAAATACAAGAGGTGATCCAAGGACTGTGTTACTATGAAAGTCATATGTGTTTGCTAATACGCAACGCGGTGTGAAAGTAAGGCTTAAATGTGAGCTATAATTCTGAAAGGAAAGCTTCAATTATATCTAGATCTGGAATTTGAAGTGCGTAAGACAATTATTGGAAACTCAAACTACTATGGATAGTCTATATCTCTTTGTTGCGTCATTTATCCCAATTTTCGCGTTTTTAATTCACAGGAGTTATTCAGTATCGATTGAATGTAAACCTTGAATTAGACAGCACTGACAGTGATTCAGCCTTGCAAATTATCGGTTACGATATGGCCCCTCAAGCTGCTGCATGTGAATGTAGTCCTATTTGTTGCACTACAATGCAGGGAGAGTGTCCACCTTGCTGTGTTTTGTGTAAGTATTATATAAATTGTATAGAGTCAATAGTACTATTAGTACTACTTGCAAATGTTCATCAAATAAATACGAGTAGTTCGTGTTATATATTTGCTTTGTGATGATCAGAAATCACTGCACGTAATCTAGGAGTTGCGATTATCATTGTACATTTGTACAAAATTAATAAACCGGATATGACGCACACAATTGGTATATCGGATATAACGCACAAGTACAATTGATAACCGGATATGACAGAATAGAGAACTCGCTTTAGAAATCTCAATAAGAATGATTCGGCGCGATGCCTCACATTTAATAAATGAAAATAACGAGCACAATTTTTAGTTTTCGTCACAGACAAGCTACATGTGCTTGACCGGACACGTTAGAGAAGTTCGTGGCCATCCTATTGCTGGCGCCGTAAACTGTGCAGCTATGCACTTATACGAAAGTTTCGTGTTTTATTATAAAAAAGAAGAAGATATTATTTTTTTTCCGGAAGTTGAATGTGAAAGTTGAAACCCGAGTGTTGCGGGCGCTAGCATTATTTTGTCACTCAGAATTATAATAACAGTAGTTTCGCAGTCTTCAAGAACTTTATTACGCAGGTTATACCATCCAGGTAAACTACATATATACAAAAATACACGAATACTTTTTTTTTCAAATTTTGAATCATGGAATACAAATCTATAAAATACATATTATCAAACACAGTGTTAATGTCGGTACCAATAAATAGTAATCATTTCAATCACAACTAGAAAACACATTTAAATTAACTGTTCACCTAGATTTCGGGGCCAACTGATGGAGCCCAATTGCCATATTCGTATATATATAGATGTGGGAGTCGATTATTCCAAAACAAAAGTACTCAATACAATGTATATGTAGAGCGGATAAATGCGGTAATAATTGTGTAATAGTTGTGCATTAATTCCTCTATTACCGCATATATATATATATATATATATATATATATATAATATTATGTTTCTTGGACAAAAAGAAATAGACTTCGTTGACATTACTATTATATAATATTATATTTCAGGTGGAACGTGCTAGGAACGGAATTGCATTGCAAGTAAATATGTCAGCGAGTATTTGGTGTCGTAAGGGTGAATAATCGATCATGGATAATCAGTTCAGTAACATAGAATAAATCTTAATACAAACAAATTCCCAAGTGTGGTTGGTGTTCATATATTGTATATTTGTTTGTTTGTTTGTTTTTACTAAAAAACGGAAAAGTGGTCGATTACACGTCTATGCTACTTTGGTAGTCATTCTTAATATATACTCCCAAATTAAATTACCAAAACCGATAAGTAGAGTAATTGAATGGCGTTGATTGATCAATAAATCGCTGTATCTATAACTTTAATTACACTGATTGATTGAATTAATCCTGGCGTTGTTATCACATCGGCGGGTTAGATTATGCTTGATGATTCTCAGGAATAACTGTTGCTTTTGTTATAAATTACTGCACTTTCCACCTACTACGTTACGGACAAGGGTGTGAACATTTCTGAGCCAATAAAATGTTTTTCAATAGAAGCTGCCCCATACCTTGATCACTCAAGATTCGTTAAGAGTGAATTGCCAGGAATATGGATAAAACTGAGAAGAATTATGCAAGGGCGGTCTTCATTTACGTATCAAATACACTCTACTCATCACTCAAGTTCACAGATAAAAAACAAAGAACTGGGATAGGATCAACATCCTTATCAGAGACATAAATCGGGGAATGATGCAATAAGAGTACAAGTGAAATTAACTCTACAAATGGAAAAAAACAATACTCACCCGAAACTGGTCATATATTCAATTATTTTTCGACATTATTTTTTATATAAAAATCAAAGACAAAAATTGGAATATATCATCACCTTATTTTTGATACTAGTGTTTGGTATTATATCAAACGCGTTTTATTATACTGGCTTCCATTGGCTACACGCGTCCTACGATCAAAAATAGTCAATGTATCCCTATTTCGGTTTTGAGTGTTAATATTATTGTCGATGGCCAACTTGAAGAATGGAACGCTTACCAACGACTTTCAATGTTTAATTGATAGATATTGGTGTTAGTGTAGGTGACGTATAATAGAAATAAAGTTCGTATTGTGGTGAAAACAAACATCTCCCTCTAGTGGTTGGTTGTGTTTAAGGCATTTATTATCCATTGAATTTAAAGTGGCCATTAACGTGTCATCGTCCGAATCGCACGGTCCCGTATCTTCGACCTAAAGGCCTCTACACGATACCGTGCGGGATCACATAGGCTAATTGCGTATCTCAAGCAGCGAGATCTGATTGGGCGCGCCTCGAAACAAAGCGCCCAGTCAGCTTTGACGTACCAAATTATAAAACAAAATTCCACTTCCTGTTTTTGTTGCTATGAGGACATCCTTTCCACACAAAACTGCATCGATTGCCTGTACCTGATGAGGCTTGAAGGCACCAACACCGAAAACTTTCGCAATTTTATCATCACAAATATCACGATTCATGGGCGCCGCCATGTAACACGCAAACTGATTGGACAATGATTAGCCGCAACTGACTACTGGGGGCGCTGTTAGAATACGCATATTTGATGGTCGTTCTGCCGAGGTCTGTTTAGATGCTTGGCCGAATAAACTTGGCTAGCGAAAATGTTGACGTGTGAGATATGTATTTATTATGAAATCAAATGAGAGCAATTGCTGTATCGAAACCATCGCCGTATTTCATAATCAGTTGTTGTTTTTGTTATAATAGTGTAGTGATTTTGTCCAACATAGTTTTGCTCGCAGAATTGTGGTCATTGTGGATATGTTACACGTTTTAATTCAAGCGTAATTGAGTATTTTGTATACACTAAAAAATCAAAATCACCATTATGTAGTAAGTATTTATTTGTTGGTTGGTTGGTTGGTTGGTTATTGGCTAATTGGAAACTCTACCTCCGTATAACTGCTAACAACTTAAGTTTTCGACTTTAATGTTGCGCATTTGAAAGTTATAAAACGCATAAATATCAATACCGTGACCCTGGAATATATGTTTTATTTACATATAAAATGAAAATTACTACACAACATTTGATTACAACTAATGTAGAAGGATTACCCATGAGATATATATGGCATGAGAGAGAAATCGACACTGATATGTTATGATATGGTTCGAGTCCACAGACATGGCCTGAGAATATGCGTACATTATGGCAGTTACTTCGACCATACATATTACTCATAGGAATATCAATATCCTACGTAAGTATGTCCTTCAACAGGCACCTCTCCCCAGGGCATACAACTCCAGTACAAGAGCTACCCGCAACAATAAATGAAACAATCATAAAACTACAAATGAATGTAGAAATACCTACAGCGTAGAACGACTCAGCTGTAATACATTAATCGTATTCTTAATTTAGCTGATACCGACACATCTGTTGTAATTAACAACAGATGTGAGTTAACTTGTCATTTGAGGTGGTAATTCAACTAGATAAATAATTTGATTATGCTTCTACTAAGTCTCGCACTGTTTTACGTGTGACCTGGATACATTATGTCAGTTACTGCAATAAGCCTAAGTAAAATACTTATCGGGGTAGAAATATCATACGTAACACCCACCTCTCCGTCCGGGAATTCAATTTTAGCATCCACGGAATGCCCGCAACAATACATGAAACAAACATTTAAAAACAAATTAGATATAACTAAAGTGTACAATGACACAGCTGTTGTACATATACATGTATGCTTTACGTAATTCATATAGACACATCTGTAGTACAGACATATGGTGCTATGAACGCATTGTGGAATTTATATGTCGTTTGATGGGGTGTGGCTATTCAACTTAGAAAAATATCATAAACATGTTAACCATTCTTCTATTTAACTTCACTATAAAACGATATCAAGTGCACAGCCTCCTCTTAGTACCAACCTATGGGAGTATGTCAAGGGATATTTTTAATATATAAAACTGGTTGTAATGAGTCGAAATCTCTGGAAAGTATTCAATATTACCGGACGATATCATAGTGAGTCATTGAGAATAGATATTTTGTCTGAAATGTCTGGTTATATCGGATAATAGCAAGTACTGCAATAACCTACTGCCATTTTTTATGTTTTACCATTATCGATCCTAGCAGTTTTCACCAATTTTAAAATGTAATCACGTGATTCTTGGTTTATCTTCCGGCCGTTTAGGTACATATAACAAATAGTGTCTACCCATACGTGTTAAAAGACTGCATCAATTCCTGAATTTCACAAATATTGTAGTACATTCATGGTAGTCAATTTAAGTACAAGAATAAGTCATGTAAATATTTACTAGTTGCAGCTCGCTGTCTTAGTTTTTCTCATTCGAAAAAGATAACCTTGTCTTACAGAATCAGAATTGGGTGTTTGACGTTGGGTATAATACACTACAGTTCAAACATGTGTTTACCACCAAAACAGGTAGCTGAAGTGTGACTATGCTGGTGACCTTTAACCTCAACATAGTCCAATCCACTACTTAGACAACATAGACGGTTACCCTTCAAAAGTGTTCAAGGTTTTGTTTCTCAACATTCCTGTTGACAACATCTTATTGTCTACTCTAGATACTGGAGTATTTATTTGTTGTTGTGATCAAAATAAATCCACTACTTAGACAACATAGACGGTTACCCTTCAAAAGTGTTCAAGGTTTTGTTTCTCAACATTCCTGTTGACAACATCTTATTGTCTACTCTAGATACTGGAGTATTTATTTGTTGTTGTGATCAAAATAAATCACGTGTCTATGACGTCATTGTATGTCATATAGATTACATTGTTTGAATAATGTGGACCAACATACTTATCATTCCAATTTGCAATCTCAATTTTCTAAATTAAAATCGCATACACACAATCCATAAACCAATTCAGGCATTTCACCTATCTAGCTTTGGGCCATTCTGTATCAAATACTCGACCAGACTGACGTAATTCAGGACACCAAGTTCATGAGACGATAATTGATATTCTCCAAAAATGTCCCAGTTTAAAAGATGTGCGATTCTATGATAATGGAGAATAGATATTATAATAGATGAACACTTAATTTTGCTTGTTTATTACTAAACGCAAGACCTGGAACTAATCCTAAAACTGCTATTCCACCACTGCCACAAACAATTACCGACATCCCGGAGTAGTGAGGACCATGTTTGGTAATTCACAATTTTCAATGGTTTTCACCCACAATATTATACATCAAACAAAGACATCTTTCTTTGTATTTAAATTTGTCAATATTTACGGCGTGTAACGTAACCATGTGTTAAAATTAAATAAGCTGTCTACACATTGAAAACGTGGTACATGTATATTTAATAGCCCAGCCTCCCTACATTGTCAGTACTCAGACGTTGCTGCAGCTTGTAACAGGTAGTAATTTGACTCTCCCGCTCTACAAAACCAGTGCATTGTAAGT